ATTGAAGATTTCAAGCTGAGGGTCGTACTGCGTAAGGTGGCAGACAGACACTCGCCAGCCGCCAGCGGTTCTGCCGCAGGTTTGTAACGCCTAAGCTGTTTTCAAACTCTACCGTTCAAACTGTACGTCTTAATCATCAAACACTGAACCGAGATGCTATCCACTTGGGCTTCAAAAAAAAGGCCTATTTTCTCTCGCGTCCTCATGGCCTGGAGATATGGGCCTCCGACGATCCTTTTCATCCGGCCAGGCAGTCGGGTCAGTGTCGCTCCCTGCCATCGAGGCTACGTTTCGGTGGCAAAAGAAAGTTGCCGGTCCAAGGTGGGATTATGTCTCCAAGAAATACATCGTCATTTGGGCTGACTAGAACGCCAGAGATATCCTTCAGGGACGGCATATTGCCAGGAGAGACCCACCGCGCCAACAGCAACATCAACAACATCAGCAACAACAGCAACACCAGCAACAACAGCAACAAGGCCAGACCAGTACCTTGTGGACGACTTTATCCTCGTTGCTCACCGGCTCCCGACCTACATCCTCTCCGCATGTCGAGTCTGAAGTTCATGGTAGGCTTTGCTATCACTTGTTTCTTTTGATGCAACGAATTTTAATATGTGCACTTATGGCGTAACTCCACATTGATAGGCCGTACGTTTCTATTCTCCTACGTCGATTCGGAAGATTTTTTTGAATCAGAAATATCCCAGTCCCATATGAGAACATCGGCAAATGAATCCTTTTCTCCGCTCCCACATCAAGCCAGACCGATGCCCAATCCACCTATTCAGGGGCATGGTATGAATGCTTTGTGCATAAATATTTTGGTCTGTCCATCGACCTTGCAACTGATATCGCTTTGCACTCCTTATAGAGGGCGAGGACTTTCCAAAGCCCAATACGACAGGATTACGTAAGGATGAGTTATTGGGTAAAAAATTTACAACCATGCACATAATGGCTTATGTGCAATATGAGGCGTAAGTTTTTAGCCGATTGATTCAAATACTTTCGTCATTACCACTCACGCTGGAGACGCTTCCGCACGTTACCTACTTGAAGGAAAGTTCCGAAATCCAATGAATTCGAACATCGTGCTCGTGAGCAACGACTATGTACTATAAAATACTACGACAACGGGATCGTGAGCATGATGGTTAGCGAAGGAGCATCATTGAACAGTATTTACCCTTTGTTTCACAACGTAGCCAGGCCTTTCAGCTCCGGGACAAGTATATCAATTCCAAATCAATTACGACGTATACCAGTTCAGTATTTACAACGCTTCCAAGGTTCTCAGCGACGCAGAGGAAGCGCAGGAGTGGGACATACTTAGACGTTTCTACCAAAAGTATGTTGCATAGCTTTTTCTTGTCCCAATAGTTATTTTTTACTTCACGAACCTGTGCCTTTCGACACTTTTATCAGGCGCCTTGATTCCCACAGGGCGCAGCTCCCGCCTACCTTCCTCCCACCGCCGCCGCCCAGAACTGGTGGTCTCCGCCTCACGGTTCTTGGCAGCATCGCTGCAGCGCGCGGCTTCCAGCGGCTACCGTCGTCGTCCTCGTCGCTGTACGTGCGCTACGCGATCGACGCCGACGAAGCAACCTGGACGCCCGGCACCTGCACCGACGTGCTGGTCGGGCCTGATGCCAGTCCGGACAATGTGGCGACGGCTCGCCGGCACCAGGGCACAGTCGCCGTGGTCCGGAGGCGTGCCGACCAGCTGTCCGCGTACACGCAAGCATCGGATCGTGTTTTTGACGAGGACACAGGCGCATGGGAGGCGAGGTTCGGGCACCCGCTTGAATTTGAAATGACTACGGCGCGCTACGGTGCAGGTACGAGAGCTTCCTCCCTGCCTCCTGAAGGCATTTTCCTCATTTGCCTCTAACCTTCAAATTGAAAAAGTAATCCCGCCACCACCTCCTCTTTACGTCTACCTTCCCGCTCAATCCGCCAAATTTTTCTCTCTGGTATTATAATCGAACACAGGTGGCAGGTTGGAATGGCCTACGGTATACTTCGAAGTCTGCTCCATGGACTACTGGGACCGGCACGTCGTGGAAGGCTACACTTATGCCAAGCTCCCCCGCCAACCCGGTTAGAGAGGAAACACCGCACTCATAGCTACGCCATACTCTCTTTCTCGCCTTTCTCACGGTCCGGACTATCATTTTTCTGATGAAAATCGTACGGCGTTCCATATAAGGCTGCTACCGACTTACGCTCCCGACCTGGCGGCCAGTTGCGACACCTACAGCGGACTTGAAGAGTATGTTTGTTGGCGGGTCGGACGAGTTAGAGAATGTCACGTACACTGCTGTTCCAAGCGGGCATCAGGTTAGGGTGGCTTTTATTTTATCGCCACCACACCAACGCCAAAATGTTCATTTCAATAACCACGGTTACTAAATGACCTGCTTGGTTTGCGTAGAGCCACAAGCTCGTAAAATACGGCTTCCAGACAGCCACCAGCGGCGAGCTCGACATTACTTTGAACGTTGTACTTCAATCGAGGTACCTGATCCGAAATCCAACACCCCACCACTTACAGAGGCATCAATGCCTTAAATACGCAGCGAGTTTATCGGACGGCGAGACCCGCAGAGCGGCATGGATACTACGAGGTAAGTTACAAAAACTATCATAGTAATCGTGATTGACCACCCCGTCAGCTACGTAAAGGAGAACGTTTCCGCAATATCAGGTGAGACGCTCCCATTTCTATTTATATTCTCATCGGAGCTTTTTCGTACCTATTTCACGTCCTTTAATTACTTTAGACGCACTCGCTCGCGCCCGCGTGCGCATGGAGGCCCTGCGACGCAAGAGTCAAGGTGGTGGCGACCTTTCAAGTCAGTCTTCGCTCTCAACATTCGCATCAACCGGCTGATATGCGGGCGATCACAATGCGACGCTTCTACGGGCATTTTGACGTCTTTGATGCGACGCAGAGCGATGGGCAAAATCGGATATATGCACCTTTATTGGATTTAGTGGCCTTTGCCTTTGACGTCCACGACCGGTGGGTCTGCCTCGTCGGAGCCGCTGGCCATACCGAACGACTCGAAAGATGGAGGCTCGAAGCTCCCGCCCTCGGGCAAACTGCCTGTTGGGCGGATGAGAAAGAAAGAGGCGCCGCGGTTGGAAAACCCGAAATGCGCACCAGAGAGGAGATAGCTGAGGCGGGGAGGGGTGGGGTGGTAGCTCATTTCGTGGCAGAATCAGGTATGTGGATGGGAACAGAAGGATCTTAACTGTCTGGTACCCAAGGCGCAAACACCAGGCAGTCGTCGTTCTTGAGGCCGACCTGCTCGATGCGTGTCGCGTCCTCAAGAAGCGCCAGCTCGGAGGCGGCAGCGGCAGCGGCACCCGTAGCAGCGGCGGCGTTGCCGCTACCGCCGCCGGTCGCGATAGCCTTCTCGAAGTACAGGCGCGGCGGTGGCGGCTGGCGGCCCTGGGCCGACGGCGGCGGCGCGGGGGTGCTATCTGAGGCGGGTACGGCTGTCTGTGAGAGCATGGCGGCGACGCGATCGCGCAGTGCCGACACGGTGTCGGCCGGCTCGCAGAGCACGAAGAGCGTCGTGCGCCGCCGCTTGACGCGCAAGAACATTGACATTGCTGAGAGATCGGAGTTGGGATGGAGAAGATACGGAGACTCGCGAAGAGGGGCGCGTACGCGAGGGTGGCGACGCACCTGCGAAGTTGGGCCACCAAATAAATCACAACCACGACAGCAGACGCACAAACCACCGACATCGTCGCCAATGTCCGCATTCGCCCTCCGCCCATAGGGAGCCCCGGCAAAGGCAGCGCAAGCACCACCGCCGCTGCTGTCTGCTACTCCGCTGCTGCTGCCCTCCTTTCCGCCCGTCGATTTTGTCACCCGCCGGTTCGTTCATGGCGGGCCTGTCATCGCGGTGCGTGTGCAGGCTGCCAGCTGGCCCTCTTCGCTCCGCTCACGCACGCGACTGCTGGATAGCGCTCACGGCCTGCGGCAACTGTGATCCCGGTGATCTGGTCTGCCGTCGTTTGCATTGTGCCCACTGAGGCTGACACGATTCCATCCAACCGCCGACCTTCATGCGGCTTTCTCTGCAACCCAAGCGTGCTTCCCCAACGAACCCTCTTTGGCGAAATCTGCACCCTTTCCCGGAAAGCATAGATGCGAATTCATCCACGCTAGGTGTCATTGACCCGACGAGAACCGACACCCGGGTGGTGCTTCCCTTCCTCTCCCTCATTGCCGAGACCATTGAGGAGACGCCATGGATCCGAAGTTCTCCGCTTCGCCCTCGGCTCGCATCCGACATCGCCGCCTCCCACACCGCCTAGTACCGCAACGCATCTATGGAGTCATAGACCAGGCTGGACTCGCTATTTCCCGAGCCACCCCACTCAGACTGTGATGGGTCCGGACCACCCCTCCCTGTATCTCCAAGTACCCGCTGCTCGCAATGTCCGTGATGGCGCGTGGGAGAAGCGCATCTAGCTGAACACGTCCTCGCCCGCGCTCCGTACCTCTGACCGACTTGGCGACAATGCCCAATATGCTGCAGCCGGCCGCACGGCTAGCTCCTCCACGTGCCACTCGAACGCCGCCTCACCTTCGCCGAGACCCCGTAGTCCTACCGACATCCCCCGACTACCCCAACTACGACGCAAAAATCCAAGCCGAACTCACGTCCGGCCGCTCGCGGCCCTGAAGATCGGGCAGTCTGAAGGAGCCGGGCACAACTGCCATGGCCCACTGGTGCTCAACTTCCGTAATGTGTACGCGGAGGGCGTCTTGGCGTGGCAGAAGCCGAGCGCAGCCACCGCCCTGTGCGCTTACTTCTCGGCTTCGTTCTGAGTGGCCGGACTCCACGGCCGCGCGATTGTACTCGACGGTACCCTGTCCGGAGCCAGCTCGCCGATCGCCAAGTGCCAGTGGACGAGAAACGGGAGAGTAAAAATAATAATATGGTCTTGCTAATCAAGAAAGCATGTAAAAAAAGCGTCCAGGCGGGGAATTGAACCCCGACCTCCCCCGCGAAACAACAATGTCAAGTTGGGGGTGTCCTACCATTGGACGACCTGGACGAAAATTGTTAGTGCACAAAAATTATCCGTCGCTAACCTTCACGCCTAATGAAACACAGAAAAAATTGCTCCCTCGACAGATCAGACTCGTGGTCACCTAAAAAGTCTTCTGGCTGTTGTTCCATCCCTCCTTTTCTCCACTCTTAATTCGGACTATACCTGATGGGTCCAAATGTGTTACTAAATGGCGGTTTGCTGTAGTTTTTAAGGGGTAAAATAAACCTTGTGTATGATGAATTACCTCTTGATTAAGTAAGCACGTAAAAAGAAAAGCATCCAGGCAGACAGGTAATTGAACCCACCGTTGGACGACCTTAACTGTCGTCAGTATTGTGCTAGAAACACAATTACCCGAGCAGGACGGAGGAATACAAACTACTCTCTCATGTACACCAAGGATGTCTTTTGGCTTGTAAATCCATCCCTTCCCTTCACTCTTAATTGGTACTTTGTAGTTTTTTTAAGGGCAAAATAGAGTCCACGTATTATTATAGATTACACCTAAATCAAGTAAGCACGTAAAAAGAAAAGCGTTGAGGCAGGGAATTGAACCCCGGCCTCCCCCGATAACAGAAATTGTTTGTTGCTGATAGCTAATTCTTTGGGGTGTCCTCCCGTTAGACGACCTGAACAGAATTATACTTACAATGAAGTATTATCTAACGTCAGCTCACAGACGGTAGAAAACAATTATCAAAACGGAGCTGAGGTATGCAAATCCGTTCTTGCTCACCTGGACGGAAAGGTTTTTGGCCTGCGGATCCATCTCTCTCTCTCTCTCTCCCTCCCTCCCTCTCTCTCTCTCTCTCTCTCTCTCATCAATCTTTAATTGAACTATCCCTGACTGATGGTAGGCAGTAGGTAGAGGAAGGGGGGACAAATGTCTCTGGACACTGATCAAAGTATTAAAGTATTTATCCTTCCACCATTACCTACCCCATCTTCGTTCATGAGCAAACACAATTGCACCACACCTTGTGTGCATCACAAAAAATACAGCGCCCAGGCGGGGAATTGAACCCCGACCTCCTCCGTGGTTTTTGCTTCGTCACACCTTATAGGTGGTTGGAGCGAATTGGGGGTGTCCTACCGTTGGACGACCTAGGCAAAATTTTATGCTTATATAAAATTATGTAATGTTTCGTTTAACTTGCCACACTAGCTCCCTTTTCCTTACCGTTATTAACCAAGCAGAACGGAGGAATGCAGACTCACTAGTAGGAACCTAGTCCCAGCTATTCAGTGTGACGGTGTCCTATCATTGGACGACAGGAACCAACCGCAAAAGATTATAATACTAAAAGTTACTGACATACGACGTCACTCCGCATTCGTCATCGGCTCACTTGTTGATTGCAGACCCGCATATATCTCCCAGAGACCACCTCCCGGATATAATAACGGCTATCACGACCCTTTCCCCCAATCATAGTCACCGTGCCATCTCTTCCTTTCTCCCAACAATCGTTTCCCTCCCC